CCCCCTTAAATATCTCCTTAATGAGGGTTTAATGGGGTCTAACTGCTCCCCATAAATCTCTCCATGATAGGGTAGTGATCCCCTAAAATCTTGGGGAGAAAACGGTTCTGGAACCGTTCAAATCGTGCTTGAACGAGTTAAACGCTGAAAACAGCGTTCTGGGCTCGAACTGTGCGTTTCTGGACCTGAAACGCACAGTTGAGGTTGAAAAACGCACAGCTGGGGCTGAAAACGCACAGCTGGAGCTGAAAAACGCACAGCTGGGCTGAAAACGCACAGTTGAGGCTGAAAACGCACAGCTGAGGCTGAAAACGCACAGCTGGGCCTGTAAACGCACAGTTGGCCTGTTTCAGGCTAAAAACGCACAGTTGAGCCCATAAACGCACAGTTGACCTGTAAACACACAGTTGGCCTGTTTCAGGCTAAAAACGCACAGTTGAGCCCATAAACGCACAGTTGGCCTGTAAACGCACAGTTGGCCTGTAAACGCACAGTTGGCCTGTAAACGCACAGTTGGCCTGTAAACGCACAGTTGGCCTGTAAACGCACAGTTGGCCTGTAAACGCACAGTTGGCCTGTTTCAGGCTAAAAACGCACAGTTGAGCCCATAAACGCACAGTTGGCCTGTAAACGCACAGTTGAGCCCATAAACGCACAGTTGGCCTGTAAACGCACAGTTGGCCTGTTTCAGGCTAAAAACGCACAGTTGAGCCCATAAACGCACAGTTGACCTGTAAACACACAGTTGGCCTGTTTAAAGGCTGAAAACGCACAGTTGTGCTGTTTTAGAGATTAACTCTGCGTTTAGATGTTGAAAACGCAGAGTTGAGCCTGTTAACGGCTGAAAACGCACAGTTGTGCTATTTTAGAGATTAACTCTGCGTTTTGATGTTGAAAACGCAGAGTTAAGCCTGGGCGTTTTGACTCTGTAATGCAGAGGCGAAACTTAGGCGGGCTTGGCGAGCTTCAGGCTAAGTCCAATGTTCTGACGAAGTCCAGTCTTGCAGACGGACTTCAGAACACAACTTGCTACGAAGAACAGGTCATAACTTTCAAACCGTACGTCGGAATTGGACGAATTACATATGAAAATCGGCTATCTCGACAAGACGGGGCCATCCGAACCGAGCCAAAGGCTTCGGTTCGCTTAAGTCCAGTCTTGCAGACGGACCTCAGAACATAATTTGCTGCGAAGAACAGGTCATAACTTTCAAACCGTAAGTCGGAATTAGACGAATTATATATGAAAATCGGCTATCTCGACGAGACGGGGCCATCCGAACCAAGCCAAAGGCTTTGGTTTGCTTCCTCCGTTTTGCCAAAGATGTTGATTGTGAATGCTGTTGAATTGGGGCCTTCATTAGTTGTTGTGAAGGTCGTCAGATTGTAACCTTCTACGTGAAAGTCCTCAAATTGTAGCCTTCTGGAAGTTGTCAGATTGTAACTTCCATCATCGGTGTTTGATGAGGGATAAGCTATCTATTGTGATTTTTAGACAGCCTACAGAACCCCCTCCAAAGTTTTCGAAAGTTCGCGGTTGACTGGGACGAATTTTCGGAATACTTTGGATCTCAACTCTGATCTTGGAGCTGTTGATTCCTTGTCACAAAGGAGTTATTCTCTGCACTCGCTTCGAAGGTAGCTTGGTTGAAGGGATTTTCCATGCATGACTTGTGTGAAGGTATGTTGAGGACTATTCTCTAGATGTTGTAAAGGTTGTATGCCTTATTTCCTTTACTCAGATATTTGTACTTGAGACTTGTTGAGTATTCCAGTTATCTATTCAGACATTGGCTATGTATTTCTGTATGTTGGATGATGAGATATTTATGCTTGGTTGAAGGGATTTTCCATGCATGACTTGTGTGAAGGTATGCGCCATAATCCTGCTTCTGGAATGTGGGGGTGGACCCTGCATTTTGAACTTGAGATGCGGGTTTCACCGTTGCATGTTGAATTTGGAACACAGGTGTGACCTCAGCGTTTGGTTTTTTGCATCGCGGGTCAACGTTTTGACTTAAGACATGGAAGTGGCTTCCGTGCATTTTTGACTAAGTCTTTGAGACTTGTCTTTGGCGCATCTGTTTTAAGTCTCGACTCACATCTATTAAGCTGATGGGCCTGCAAATGTGCGTAGGATTTTTGGCAAACCCTCAGCCATCAACGGATTTGATAAGCCTTTACCGACTACCGTTTGAATCGGGCTAGCATGTGGATTGTCTAAGTCCGTTCCACATGTAACGTTGTGCTAAGAGAATGAACTCTCTTAGTCTTGATGCTATGATTTTGAATACATAGACTTTGTCATTTTGACGGGAAAAGACTAACCGGCAACGCGTGTTAGGCGTAGACTTATCTCTATTTAGGGATCGAGATAAAGTCCCCCATGCGTGTGAGGCATGGATTTTGATGTCCTTTTCACGGTAAAAGACTAACCGGCAACGTGTGTTAGACATTGACTTATCCCTACTTAGGATTCAGGATAAAATTCCCCATGCGTGTAAGGCATGGATTTTGGTGCTACGATATTGAATACGTTACGATATTGAATACGTAGGCTTTGCTATTATTGCGGGAATAGGCTACCCGGCAGCATGTGTTAGATGCAGACTTATCTCTAATTAGGGATCGAGATAAAGTCCCCCATGCGTGAAGGCATGGATTTTTGGTGTCATTTCTTCCTGTGTAGCTTGAAACACCGAAAGAATTAACAAGTTCATTGGGGGGTTGACTGTTAGAGGTGTTATGTTAACATAACAGTATTTTATGGACCTATCGCTCTATTGAAGAGAGTCGATAAGTTGATTTGGTCGTCAGAGGTGTGGTGTTAACTTGACGAGTTTGTGGACCTATCGCTCCATTGAAGAGAGTCGATAAGCGGATTTTGTCAGAGGTGTAGTGTTAACGTGACAAGAAAGATATTGCTATGGAAGCAATTTTGAGAACTTATCGCTCTATTGGAGAGAGTCGATAAGTGGATTTTTGTCAGAGGTGTAGTGTTAACGTGACAAGAAAGATATTGCTATGGAAGCAATTTTGAGAACTTATCGCTCTATTGGAGAGAGTCGATAAGTTGATTTTGTCAGAGGTGTAGTGTTAACGTGACAAGAAAGATATTGCTATGGAAGCAATTTTGAGAACTTATCGCTCTATTGGAGAGAGTCGATAAGTTGATTTTGTCAGAGGTGTAGTGTTAACGTGACAAGAAAGATATTGCTATGGAAGCAATTTTGAGAACTTATCGCTCAATTGGAGAGAGTCGATAAGTTGATTTGGTCGTCAGAGGTGTGGTGTTAACTTGACGAGTTTGTGGACCTATCGCTCTATTGAAGAGAGTCGATAAGTTGATTTGGTCGTCAGAGGTGTGGTGTTAACTTGACGAGTTTGTGGACCTATCGCTCCATTGAAGAGAGTCGATAAGCGGATTTTGTCAGAGGTGTAGTGTTAACGTGACAAGAAAGATATTGCTATGGAAGCAATTTTGAGAACTTATCGCTCAATTGGAGAGAGTCGATAAGTTGATTTGGTCGTCAGAGGTGTGGTGTTAACTTGACGAGTTTGTGGACCTATCGCTCTATTGAAGAGAGTCGATAAGTTGATTTGGTCGTCAGAGGTGTGGTGTTAACTTGACGAGTTTGTGGACCTATCGCTCCATTGAAGAGAGTCGATAAGCGGATTTTGTCAGAGGTGTAGTGTTAACGTGACAAGAAAGATATTGCTATGGAAGCAATTTTGAGAACTTATCGCTCTATTGGAGAGAGTCGATAAGTGGATTTTTGTCAGAGGTGTAGTGTTAACGTGACAAGAAAGATATTGCTATGGAAGCAATTTTGAGAACTTATCGCTCAATTGGAGAGAGTCGATAAGTTGATTTGGTCGTCAGAGGTGTGGTGTTAACTTGACGAGTTTGTGGACCTATCGCTCCATTGAAGAGAGTCGATAAGCGGATTTTGTCAGAGGTGTAGTGTTAACGTGACAAGAAAGATATTGCTATGGAAGCAATTTTGAGAACTTATCGCTCAATTGGAGAGAGTCGATAAGTTGATTTGGTCGTCAGAGGTGTGGTGTTAACTTGACGAGTTTGTGGACCTATCGCTCTATTGAAGAGAGTCGATAAGTTGATTTGGTCGTCAGAGGTGTGGTGTTAACTTGACGAGTTTGTGGACCTATCGCTCCATTGAAGAGAGTCGATAAGCGGATTTTGTCAGAGGTGTAGTGTTAACGTGACAAGAAAGATATTGCTATGGAAGCAATTTTGAGAACTTATCGCTCAATTGGAGAGAGTCGATAAGTTGATTTGGTCGTCAGAGGTGTGGTGTTAACTTGACGAGTTTGTGGACCTATCGCTCTATTGAAGAGAGTCGATAAGTTGATTTGGTCGTCAGAGGTGTGGTGTTAACTTGACGAGTTTGTGGACCTATCGCTCCATTGAAGAGAGTCGATAAGCGGATTTTGTCAGAGGTGTAGTGTTAACGTGACAAGAAAGATATTGCTATGGAAGCAATTTTGAGAACTTATCGCTCAATTGGAGAGAGTCGATAAGTTGATTTGGTCGTCAGAGGTGTGGTGTTAACTTGACGAGTTTGTGGACCTATCGCTCTATTGAAGAGAGTCGATAAGTTGATTTGGTCGTCAGAGGTGTGGTGTTAACTTGACGAGTTTGTGGACCTATCGCTCCATTGAAGAGAGTCGATAAGCGGATTTTGTCAGAGGTGTAGTGTTAACGTGACAAGAAAGATATTGCTATGGAAGCAATTTTGAGAACTTATCGGTATGAATGCTTTGTTGATGTAGTCCAGACAAAGCATTTTTGCTAAGTGTTGATGTGATTAAAATTTTAACCGGGATCGGGGTTTTATGAACTTGAGTTCTATTGATCCTACAGTGAAATGCTAATTTTATGCTAATTTGATCTCAACGGAGTTTTATGAACTTGAGTTTTATTGATCCTACAGTGAAATTCATAAAGTATATGCTAATTTTGCAAATTTTATGAAGTCATGGAAGCAGTAATGGGGTACTGCAGTAATGTATATGCTAATTTTGCAAATTTATTTGTGTCTTTTTTTTGTGTATGTTTTTTTTTGTTCCCAAATAATTGACGAGGTCATTATTAATGTTTTTTTCTTCTTTAGGAGTTTGGAATGGAGGAAACAAATTCAAATAGTGTAGAGTTCGGAATGGGAGAATCAAGTGTTATTGGAATTGAAACTGCGGCCAATTCTGTAAATGCTCCTAAACCACTACTAGGAATGAAGTTTAATAGTCATGAAGAAGCTTATAACTATTATAACTCTTATGCATTGCCATTTTCGGTGAGAGACCCTAGTGGATGTAAGGCAATGATGTGAGTTAAATTATTAGAGGACAAATCGTGGGAGGTCACGGGGTTTATTGAAGAACATAGAGATCCATTTTCGGTGAGAGACCCTAGTGGATGTAAGGCAATGATGTGAGTTAAATTATTGGAGGACAAATCGTGGGAGGTCACGGGGTTTATTGAAGAACATACAAATCATGTGTTGAGTAGTCCAGACAAAGCAAAAATGCACAGATCACATTAACAATTCCATAAAACTCAAAGATGTAAAAAAAACTTATTGAGAGTCTGCGAGAAGAATGTATGTCTCCTTCCACTATTTCTCGCGTCATTAATGCAACCAATAGAAGAGAAGGTGAATTAGTGACACCACAAAAGTGTATTGATCATATCAGAACCCAAAGAAACAACAATATTGTCCATGAATGTATATCTATCATTCAATATTTTCAGAGTAAGACAGCGAATAATCCAGAATTTTATTTTGCAATAGAAGTAGATAGTAATGGACAAATGAGGAGTGTTTTCTAGGCTGATGGAAGATCAAGAGTATCTTATTTGCAATTCAGTGATGTTGTTGTGTTTGCTGTGACATACAGAACTAATAAGTTCAGTCTTCCATTTGCTCCATTTACTGGTGTAAATCAACATAGGCAGTCCACTTTACTTGGTTGTGCATTATTAGCCGATGAACAGGAAGATACCTTTGTTTGGTTATTTGAAGAATGGCTGAAATGCATGCACGGCATTGAACCAGGTGCTATTATAACAGATCAGGATAGAGCAATGTGTAATGCTATTCACTTAGTGTTTCCAACGACAAGACACCGTTATTGTTATTGGCACATGCAAAAGCACATTATTGATCATTTGCCTACTTTGGGGTCTCGTTATGGTGAACAATTTTAAAAGTATTGGAGCTTGTGGTATAATAGTTCTTCAATTGAACAGTGTGAAGGGTATTGGCTTGAGATGAAGGAGAAATTTGATATAAATGAAGAAGATGAAGGATGGTTGCAAACAGTTTACAAATGTCGAGAACATTGGGTGCCATGCTATTTGAAGGATACTTTTTTTGCTGGAATGATATCAAGCCAAAGGAGTGAAAGTATTAATTCTTTTTTTGATGGGTATGTTAACTCACAGACTCAATTACAAGAGTTTGTGACACAATATGAAAAAGCAGTAACTCACCGTCGATTAAGTGAAGCCCATGAAGATTTTAAGAGTCTTAACACAAAGCCTGTCATGCTCCTTGGACATCCAATTGAGGTCCAAGTTGGAGAAATTTATACACGCAATATGTTTGCTGTGTTCCAAACTGAATTCAAAGGATTTGGTACAGAGTTTTGTGAAGAATTGAGAAAAGATGGAGACATTGTTGAATACCAGGTCTGTAAGTTTACAGATAGAGGAAAATGGGAGGTGGTTACTTATGACCAGTCTAGTCATTTGCAGTTCATTTGCACTTGTGTTTTGTTTGAAACCAATGGTGTTGTATGTAGACATATATTATCATTAATGATGGCTAGACAAATGGATTCATTACCCGACCATTACATCCTACATCGTTGGACTATACATGCTCGACATCGTAACATTGGGGTTAGCAACATTGTATTTGGAAAAAATATCACAAGCTGTGAAGAGAAGATTAATTTATTGAAATCTTGGGCTTTAAGAGCAAAATTCAATAATGCGCTCGAGCTTGCACTTGATTCAGAAGAGAAGATGCAAAAATTAGATGATGTGTTAACAAATTTCATAGAGTCAATTGAAGAAGAAGTTAGAGAGACTCGAGTTCAAATGGAGGATATTCCTCAGATTACCGCACCCATTTCACATACAATGGAGCACATTCCTCAGATTACAGTTCGTGATCCTGATAGACCTGCAAGGACTAAAGGTCGTCCACGCAATGCTACTAGAATCCAATCAGGTTTAGAACAAGCACAAGAAAAGAAAGAAAGGAAGAAACGCATATGTAGCAGATGTGGTGAACTCGGGCATTATAGGACTAGCTGTAAAGTCAACTTGCAAAGGTACAATTAATATTTTGTTTTCATGAAACTTCAGAGTCAATTAATATTTTGTTTTCATGAAACTTCATAGAGGTAATTAATATTTTGTTTTCATGAATTGTTTTTGCAGCTAAACATATGCACGAGTGCCGGATCATGAGGTTTGTTCGTTGGGCTACCCCAATCCATGTACGTATATATGTTGTTTAATGTGTTTCCTTGCTAATTTATTTCCAGAGTTAGTTGTATTACTTTCATTCATTGATATAATTCTATTCATTAACAATTTATTTCCAGCACATGTTCATATGTTAACACACTGTATTCAGTTCGGTATCTTACCACTACTAAAATGTTTCAGATGGTATTGGCAATGGATTTTCGTACTCACTTGCTCTCCTCCAAGCTGCTTATTACCGCCGCATGAAGTAGTGTGTTCTTAAATCGTGGAAGCTGATAGTTGATGCTGTTAACTGATCTCAATTGTAGTAGATTTGAAACATGTTTTTTTTCCTTTCACTTTATTTATGTTGAAAGGATGGAATAATGAGTCCTGATGGTTTTCTTTTAACTGATATTGGCAAAGAACTTGATCTAATGTATTTGAAAGTTTGCTGAAACAACTTATTTTAACTGATAGAGAAAACGAGCAGGGAATATTTGAGCAAGTGTTAAGAGGCGAACTTGACTTTGTCTCAGATCCATGGCCAAGTATTTCAGAGTGCAAAAGATTTGATTAGGAAAATGCTTATAAGGGATGCCAAAAAGAGGCTAAATGCCAAGTATTTTACCAGCACATGTTCTTTTTGATGGATTATTCATATTTGTGATTAACTGCTTTGCTTAGTTATCACTGGTTCTTTTTCTTCTTTTTTGGATGTTATTATTTACGTCTACCTATCAGCTATTATGGTTATAATCATCACACTATTATATAGCTGTTGTTTCATCCATGATATAATCATCAAATACTTTTTTCAATAAAGTGAATGATCTGGTTGCAGGCAATTAATGGGCAACTAATGTATTTGAAAGTTGTTGTCTTTAATATTTTTTTCAGGTCAAACTGTTAACAAATTAGAAAGATCACCAACAAAGATGAAAGGAATCACACAAGAGAAAAGGCCGACTAGTGAAGAAAATAAAAATACAAGCATAGGCACGGGAAATAAGCAAAAAACGTAATTATCAGGTGAAACAGGAACAATGAAGCACAAAACATTAAACAGGAAATGTTGAATAGCTCGCCACAAAGTTCTAAAAACAAGCGTACGAAAGATGCAACAAATAGCTCACCATTTTACGCTGAATAGCTCACCATTTTACGCTTGATATGAACATCCACAGGCATAATAATATCATAAAAGAAAGCACGCAATATACATACACGTCTACATCAAATATACATACACGAATACATCATTGCAAGAAATACCCGGCCAAAACAGAGCAAATTACATCTAATAGTATTGTAATCATTTACAAACCTAGTTGAGAAACATCCAACAGATAACTTACAAATCACATCACATATTTTTGCAATAGAGAAGCCAACAAATACTGCAATGAGACATACTACAAACACTAATATTGTAAACACTGAACGATGCTGAATCACGAACGATGGTGTGCTTATCCCATTCAATCAAAGCCCCTTTATACGTTGTATATCCCCGACCTCTCTTCACAATATAAAAACCCTTTCTTGCCATGGATAACCTGAAAATTTGTGCTTTAAAATAAAGTAAATGTCTTTGACACCTAATAAAACAAAGATCACACTTGGCAAGCCAATTTCCTAAAACAATTACAACCAGAACACACTTACTATCAGCTTTGTATTGGATGATGTTAATAGATAGACTTATGGATTATGCATTATCAAATTTCTGTTGTCTGAATATGGTATCCAGGTTTTTATTCGAGATATGTGTGAAAATGGTATTTAGGTCTAAGGCATATTACCTGCTCAAGTTCAAGTTAGAATAGCCAGGTTGCTTATTGCACATTATTTGAAGAACAAATGGCATTATGCTACAAAGTTCTAATAAATTTTGCACAAAGTGTGGCCTCGAGCTGTAAGTTCCAGGTTCTCTTTTAGCTCGAGGGGTTATTTTTACTATAAATAAAATTCATCACCTAATTTTTATGGTTATCAAAAATCTGTTCTTCAGTTTTTTTCAAAGTTCTAGATTCTCTCATTTTTATGGTTATCAAATTTTTTAGAGTAAACAACTAAATTTAACAATTAATGAAAGGGAATGTATATATAATCACACCTAAGGAGGAAAAGGAATGTATATATAATCACACCTAAGGAACAGTAATAATTTAACAATTAATAAAGTGTAAATATAATGGGATTTTACAGGTAAACAGAGCTTACATCAACAATTCTCAAGAACAAAACTTCGATCCAATAATTCTTCCAATTCATTCATAGATAAGCAGCAATAAAAATTAAAAACAATCATTTTTAGAGATCGAGAGAGAGGGATCGAGAGAGAGGGGTCGAGTTATAACCTGCAGCGCCGATTCAATCTCGCGGAGGAGGGAGAGAGAGTTGGTCGGCGGCGGGGTTGGGGTCAAGGTGCAGTTGGGGGTGGCGGGGTTGGGGCCACGAGCGGGAGAGAGAGGGCCTGAGGGTTGGTCGGCGGAGTTGGGGGCGGCGTGGTTGGGGCCACCAGCGGGAGAGAGATAGGGAGGGTTGGCCCCGCTTGTGACGCGTTGGGGCGCGGCGTTGGGGCCACGAGCGAGAGAAATAGGGAGTTGGAAGGCGGAGATCTCCGTCGAGATCCGTGAGTGGACGGCGGCGATTTTGGGATCCAAGGGTAACGAGAGTGCTGGCTTTTTTTTGAGAGAGAGAGCCCGACATCGAGAAAGCACGGAGCCCGACGAGAGGGAGAGAGGGAGGGATTAGTGGTTGCTGCCACGATCGAGAGAGATACTGCGGATGGGGTTGGAGCCACGAGATTTCAGGGATTTTCATTATGCAAATTGCCCTTGCAGCTCATGGGGGGTCCGGAGCGGCAGGCCAGCGCTTCCCAGTTTCCTCATATTAATATATATATATATATATCTATATATAATAATATATATATATATATATATATATAATAATATATATATACATATATATATATATACAACACACACATATGTACATATGTATACTATGTACATTTACATATGTATACATATGTATACATTGTTGGACCCTAGAGGGGGGGGGTGATTAAGGTCAAGAGGCTCTAATTATGCCCAATAAAATTAAGACAAGCAAACCACAATATTCTAATGCAATTCAAAGTAAATGAGATAGGGTTAGGATTGTTATCCTTTGACGGCGCGATGTGTTAACGAGGTTCAGTCCGCCGACCTACGTCCCCGCTCCCCACTCTCGAGAGAAATCCACTACACACCGCGGTTTTAAATCGGAACTTCGTCTAACAGCGATCCCCTCGTGATCTCACCACTACCACAGTTTGATCTCAACAAGATCACCTCCCTCACAGTTGATCTACACAAGATCACACTCACAAAATAGTAGAAAGGTGCAAGACTCTCTCTTTACAAAGCCCCTATGACAAATAGAAAGAATCATTGAAGCTGGGAACTGGGAGAGTGAACACACACAAAACACAGAGAAACAGGTTTTGAAATTTTTTCTCAGGGAGAACAGCGTTCTCTTGGTTTTTGCAAAAGTTAGGGCAGAAAAGAAGGTGAGGGTATAGGTTTAAATAGGAGAAACTAATTATTTTAAAATCCAACCCAATCTTCTCAAAGAGGAAATAATCTTCTATCAGACTGCTACCACAGACTGTGCCAAACATAGTGAAGGATAGAACAGGAACCCAGGCAACCGACCGTTGAAAAAGCTCTCGCTTGACCGAAGAGATTTTCGTCGACGACAGAACGTTCGGTGACCGAAAAGAAAGAATTCGGTCAACCGACGAAAAATCCGGGTCGACGCCGAGCCCAGCGTCTAAAAATAAAGAAACAAACAAAGACTTCATCGGTCGACCGTGCGGTCGACCGATAGAAAAATCGATCTTCGTCGACCGCACGATCGACTGACAAACTCTCTGTCGCCCAGTGACGAATGATCTTAAGTGCGGTCGACCGGTGCGGTCGACGCATTCTGATAAATCCAGAACAGTATTTTGACTCAAACAGAAATATTTAAAAATATTATTTGACCTCTGAAAATTATGAAACTTTGTAAAATGTTTTATATACTAAAACCAAATTGTTTGAAAAAAGAATTTTGTAGATAGGTCCTCATACTTGTGAAAAATAGTATTTTGAAAAAACGCTTAAAAGCATAAGTATGAAAACGTGTGTGTGAGTCCCAATAGCTTCAAGTGAAATCAATAACTCTTTGCCTACATTCTAATACTAGGAGAGAATAAAAACTAGCTAATATCCTCACATAGAATACAATTCTTAAGTCTTGATATAGCTTGAGTTTGGATGAAGCGTTTATATGAATTGTTGTTCTTGAAAATAACATTGCTTCATTACTATGCCTCCTCCTCCTTTTTGAATATCATCCGTTGTTAGCGTATATTCCATCCAATTCTCCATGTATGGTACTAACAGCTTGATAACAGAATTTACTACATTTGCACTCAATAAGCCATTAGTACCGTTAATGGTGGTTTTAAAACATCATCAAAACATAAGGCTAACATACATATGTACATATGTACATATGTATACGTACATATGTATACATATGTATATATCTATATACATATATATATATGTACATATGTATACATATGTACATATGTGACACATATTACATATGTAATATACATATGTATACATATGTACATATTTATGTATACATATATACATATGTATGTTTACATATATACATATTATATATATATGTACGTGTGTATATATATATATATATATATATATATATATATATATAATATATATATATATATATAATATATACATACATAATGTACATATGTATATATGTATACATACATATGTACATATGTGTACACATATGTACATATGTATACATATGTATTATATATATATATATATATATATATATATTATATATATATATATATATAATATATATATATATATATATATATATATATAT